TGTCCCCAGCCAAACTTTTTAAGCTCCTTAAGGAGAGAAACACTGTTTTCCTCATTTTTGAATTGTGCCTGCTTACTCCCCAACAAAACTGCTAGACACAGTGCTTTACATGTTTGCTGAATGAAGAATAAATGGAAACCCTGTGAAATGATTACATATAATCGGCAGTTTCAACACTCTGGAATTTGTTTTACCCACTTTACTCCTTTAGAAAGTGATGATTCTGCTCTTCTCACAATCTATTATTCTAATGTAAAATCTATCAGAGATACAATTAATCCCAACGGTTTGCTTTGCTAAGGAAAAAAAAAGAGAGAAAGAGACCGCACTTTAGAAATAGAAGCCACTGTTGTCTTTATAAAACACAGAATTGTGCTGCTGCTGTTGCTTGCTTCAGAAGAAACTGTACATTACAGCTGCTGGGATAATTTTACAATGGACTGGACAAGGTACAGCTCAAAGCAGGACACAAACACAAGTCTCATAGGGAAACAAATGCAAACAAGTGCACAGCTGTGGGGCTCCAGGGACATTTCCCCATCCATGCTGGACTTGAGAGGGATAAAAAGTTTAGAAACTAAACTGAAACCCAGAGTAGTCACACATGCCCACCAGATGGCTGCTAAGTGCAACATCATACACCAATCAGGCTGGACTGTGTGCACAGGAAAGTCATTTCATTTTTCCTTATTGCTACTACACCAGGGGAGTCAGTGCATTTGACACATTGTCTTTATTTGCACAATCCTTGGAGGGTTTCCTATTTTCCTTTTTAGAGAAGGAAATCTGCCTTTCCTCACCTTTCTCTGTTTTGTTTGTTGTTGTCGTTGTTTTGAGCCCATTGCCTCCACCACCTTTCCTGGGCTCCCGGACAGCAGCCAGAGGTTCTAAGTCAGTAGGAGTAGAGTAAGGGGAGAGCACCAACCTAGCCTCTCTCCCTGCCCAGGGAGAAGGCAAGTCCTAATAAATGGGAGAGAAGAGAAACCCAGAGAATCCCTTCTCCCTGATCGGCTTAGAAGGCCAAAGAGGAAAGAGTGCCCTGCATAACCCTGCCATGATCAGACATTAAGAAGGAAGGCATCCCAGCTACCATCCAGGATTGGCCGTGGCCCAGCAAATATAAATAAAAATAACTTCCCCCTGATGTAGTTTCCAAAACTGCATCTTAGTCAGTTTGAGATGACTTTCTACCCTGAAGGGGGAAGGACCATTCACCTTTCTTTGTTACACATAATGCCAAGTCTAAAACACTGTCCCACTAGCCGTGCAGATATTCTATGGGTCAGCTGAGAAATAATTGTGTCCCCTTGGCTGCCCATCTTGCTGGCCTCATTTACAGAATTCTGGACAAGAAAAAGAAAACTACCCAAAAACATCACTGCTTAGCCAAGAGGCTATAGAGGAGCTACTGAGTAGATGGGAACCAGGAGCTTTTTAGGGAGGTTTCACACTTTTAGTTACCTTCTTTTTCAACATTAATTTCAGCCTAAGTTCCCAGCAACAACAGCCTCATGCTTATCCCCAGAGGCCAGCAGTAGCACCTCGGCCCCAGTGAGTCAGGCTGGACTGGAAAAGTGATCAGTGAGCAAGGCTCTCCTTTCCCAGGTTTTAGCCAAATTCTTGCCATTCTCTTCCCATTCCTCCTTCCCCCATGTCTATCCCCTAACCCTTCAACCCTGGATAGCCAAAAAGGTCAATGCTAGGACATCCTCAGAAAAAGGAAGCCCCAGGTACAGAGAAATGAAACCAGATCTAGAAAAAGCAACAAGAGAAACCACCTCCAAAGAGTGGACAGATGTGGAAGTTGCCAGAAGCCTTCCTGATTTCATGCCAGATGGGCAGGCCTTCTGCTACACCTTCACATAAGTTTGAGGGCAGTCCAACCCAGGAAAGACATCACTAGGCTTGGGAAGCAGATTCTTGGTCTTCTGCAGCCAAGGAGCTAAGCCTGACCTTGCCAGCTAACAGTGGGATCATTGTAGCCATGCAGAGAATTCATCATCACATAGGCAGATAGGCAGGCAGGCCAGCAAGCAAGCTGAATGAACAGAAAAAAATAAAATGAGGCCAGGGATAGAGAGAGGAGGAAAAGGAAGGCAAAAGAGTAGAACAAAGGGACCAGGAGACTTGTCTAAGAGGATGAGGGTGGGGTCTCGTCTCCCCAGCACTTCCTCTGAGCCTAGGTAAGAAGCACCACTTTAACCAAATCAAAGAAAGCCAAGCTTGCTGCCAACACCACTTCTCAATCTGCATGCACCACCTTTCGAAGAAGAATCCTCAAGGTTAAGGGTGTTTTTCAAGTCTCAAAGATAGAAAGAAAGAAAGAAAATCACAGCAAGATGTCATGTTCTTGCCACTGCCCAAGCTGTTTCTTTTATTTATTAAATGGCATGTAAATGCCTAAGGGCTAAAAAATGCCAAGCCTCAGCTCAAGACCCAACTGGAGGGAGTGAGGCAAAGAGAGAAAAAGGAGAGAACACAAACTTGTTGCTGAGAGTAGGTGGCTACCACCAGCTCTCAATGGACATTTGCAAATGCTGGTGAATGACTGGACCTTCCAGGAATACTGCCCTGATCCCAGCCCCAAAACACACCCGAGAAGAGAACACTCAGAGCCCACTGTCCCAAGAGAGCTCCCCTCCCCAAAGGGTGACTAAACACGAAGTAGACAATATATGAAGGCGATGGACAGGGCAGATGGGAGTGTTGGCATCACTCTCTTAGGCACTTGTGTAAGGAATGTAGGCTCTCCAGTGAGCTGCCTCCTCCCAGAGCCCTCCATTCTGTTTTCAGCTGGGCTGTGCCCACAGGGCACCCCACACTGTAGCCAGGAGGAAAGAAGTAAAGGAAGAGTTACTCAACAGTCCTGATGCCTTCTCCATAATCAATGTTTGTGCTACGTTTTGTGAAGTTGCTGAACAAAGTAGCCAACCAGAACAGAACCTGGGATAGACTGTTTTGCATAGCAAATCTGGGTCTGTACAAGGGCTGCTAGGGAGGGGAAATGGTAGCTCTACTGCATAGGCCCATATTCAGACCGGCCTTCCGCTGGCTGGCCTTGAGCCTGAGCTAGGTCTAAATAGTCATGGCTTCATCACCAGATTGGGGTAAACCCAAGCCCAGGCTCCTCAAAAAGAGGAATTTCCACACTGAAGCTGCAACTCCTCATCCCAAGCAGTGGGACAGGAAAAAAGGAACAGTCGAGGAAAGAGGAAGCCTTGCTTCAAGACCAACAGGCCCCAAGCTAGAACCCCCTACTTTTCCAGTTCTGCAAGACAGCCAAACCCCATCTCTACCCAGGAAGACAGGAAAAAAAAAAGAGAAAAAAGCCCATGCCATCCACTCACATGCCCTAATGGGAAATCAGGAAAAAGTCATTTGTGTAAACAGAAGCAATAGGGAGCAGCAAAATCCCCCAGCCTATCCAGAGGACACGCTGAAATCTGGGATAAGCCAAGTATCAGAGGATAGTCCAGAGGAAGGAAAGATGCACTTGCAGGAAAGAGTGCAGGGCAGTGCAGCAGAGGTGCCTGCAGCAAGAAAAAGGTATTACTTGCACATGGGTGGAGCCTGAACCCCACCTGTGGAGATAACCACACCCTACAGAGCCAAGCCAGAGCAGGCGAACAAGTCAGGTGCGTAGCTCCTTTGATGGCTCAATGTTTCTGGGACGTAAACTCACTGGGCATGGGAGGGATTTATTTCCAGATTTTGGCAACAGACTCAGGTTATGGTATAAAAATAGCATTTAGTTTTTGCTTTTTTTCCCCCCTTATTTTAGACCTAAAGATCATCTGTTGTAAGACACCCCAGTTAAAAAATATTGAAACATAAAGAGGCTTGACCATCAGGGAAAAGAAGCCCAGAATGAGAAATGCTATGAAAGTTAACTCCAGACCCAGGCAGGTGGGGAGAAAGCGGGGACAAGAAGAAAGGAGACATAAGTGGAAAGGCCAGGGGCCAGTCATCTCAGCAGCTCCTAGACTTGTCATGTCTGAAAGTGCAAATGTCAATGGATTTTAACCATCTTGAGGTCATGATCTTTTTAAAAGCTCAATGAATATGGAAGTCAATTCCTTCAAATGCAAAATAGCTGGCGCTCTGGCTGGAGGCGTGTTGGGTTCGGGGTATTTCATCCCAACCTACCTCCTCTCCCACCCCCACCCCGCCCCCACCCCCCAAAAGGTACAAAAGGTTGCAGTTCTGCAGCATTACCATTACAGGGAAGGCACTGGTTACCCACCAGCAGGCGGAAGGAAGACAGGGTCGTGTCACTTCAGAGCTAAGTGCCATAGTGCCTTAAGTCTTACTAGGGGCTGGATGTCTGTCAGGTGTAAGGTGGGGTAGAAAAGGTAGAGAAAGAGGAATAAGGGAAAGGGGAGTGGCAGCTGGGGGAGGGGCAACCAAAATCATTAGCATTAAAAATCTTCCTACAAGCTGGATTCTCAACCCATTAAAACATCTAGTATCCTAAAATATTGATCTGCATCTGATTTCGTTTTTCTTCTTAAACAAATCTAGACCTTTTCTGATTAAGGCTCCTAAAAAATCCTGCCCTCCTCCCACCCACTTTCTCAAGCCCCTCACTTTTCCGTCTAAAGTATCAAACCCAAACCTACCAGCTTTTGTCCGCAGGGCTGCAGAGCCGACCTTACCAAGCTGTCAGGCATGAGTCTGTAGCACTGTGAGTCACACGAGACACCTGTGTATATGGTGGGCACCGCTGCTGCCTCTCTTGGTCCAGTGGCTTCAGGGCCAGGTGTGACAAGATGGGGTGAGGGGTTGAGGGCATGAGGTGAATATCAGAGATTTCTGGCTGGTGGTCTGGCTCACTGGCCCTGTTCCCCACCCTTTTGCCCCCTCTGCAGAAGGAAAACAGGGCCTTCTGCATTCCTCCCTACCCCCACCTCCCTCCTCCCTGCTTCCTCTGGATTTGGGCGGCACAGCTCTTGGGGCTTGGAAAGCTTTCTTCTATCCAGTGAGGTAACAGCGTTCTGCCTTCAAGCGAAGTACATGGTGCGCAGAGTATCCTGGTGAACCTGCACGGCTTTGGCCAGGGCCTGGGGGTCCCGCCCATTGCTCTGCCCCGATATGTGGCTCCCCTCTCCACTGAAAAGGAAAAATGAAAGAAGTCCTTCCTGGTGAACTGAGCTGCCACTAACCCTTCCCCCACCCCTAGGGTGCCAATTCCCATACAAATCAAGAGAAAACCCCAACCCAGGTTTGGGCTGACAAGCCCCAGGACACCAAATTGGACAATCCTCATTTCCTTCTACCCAAAGAAAGTTGAGAGGGTCTGGTACCAGAGGCTGAAGCAAAAAGGAAGCCAGCCTGATCCCAGGCCTCACCTGTCATGCTCTTTGTCCACTAGGTGGTATCGTGCCCGGAAAGCCACCAAGCGGGCATAGTAGGCAGGTGCTGGAATTGAGACGGAGCGTGTGCATCGTACATAAGTGTGGCACAGCTGGTACGTCAAGATCTGGAGCTCATCCGCTGTGAAACGGTTGTCATCCCAAAGGACATAGTAATGGGATGGTCGGCTGGTGCCCTGGGAAGATAGGAAGGTGAGGGGCCCCAGGTTGAGCAGACGGGATGGCTGACAATAAGGAACAGGATTACCATTATGAGTATGGCTGGGCTGGAAGGCCCACCCATGAAAAGGCAGACACAAAGCCACCTTTGTCATAAAGCACCCAATGTATGGGCAACCTGACTAAGATGTTGGAAGTACACTTATGTTCAAGTGCACAAAGGGCTTATTAAGAGAACAATCCTGATTTGAATGCCACTGAGTGATGAATGATATATTCTAGAGGTAATGGGAATGATTCACTATCTTTGACCCACTGGGTACCCCAGGACATAGCCCAGCTACCTGGATGCCTGCGTGGCTGCACAGATAGAAGTCAAACTCAAATGGGTGGGTGATGTTGGTGTCCACAGTGGTCCCAGCTGGGATGTTACCACTCTTCCCAATCTGTATAGAAACAAAGACAACCAAGATCCCAAGACCTGCCTGGCCCTAACTAGGGCCCCGACTCAATTCTAACCTGACTCCATCAGAATCCCAAAAGTAAAGCAGAAGTTGCTGTTCCCAGAGAGTCCTGGGCCTTGAAATAACAGGCTTCTAAAGTCACACAGACCTGTGTTTAAGTGCTGCTTTCACCATTTATTAGCTGTGTGATCTTAGCAAGTTATTTAACCTTTCTGAGGTTAAACTGGAGATAATAACAGTACCTACCTCACAGGGCTGCTGTGAGGAAGACGCCGTGCACAGTGTCTGGCACACAGAAGTTCAATAAATGGAAGTTCCCTTTCCCATCTCTGGGAGCTGGTCTATATATGGGGTCTATAGGCCAGGGAGCTGGGAGGAGGGAGATCAAGTATAAGGGAAGAAGGGAAGGAGGGGAGAAGGGGGAAACAAAGGAAACGAAGCAGCAGAGGACCACGAGTTAGGGGGAAGAAAGGTGCCAGGGGCAATGGACAGGCCAAGGACTAAATCCCCAGATTTCATTTCAACAGCTTCTTTCATACTAAAAGAAGGGAGACAAGATAAGGGTACAGTGACTTCCTCAATCCCTCACTCACTCGCTCATTCTTGTCAGCACAAAAAAGACGGGTGTGATGGCGTTTCTGCACCACAATATAAGTGATTCCAGGCTGGTAGTCCTTTTCCAGTTTGATGCAGGCATCACGAATGGCCAGCAGCTCATAGTGGAGGATCTAGGCACAGGGTGAGGAGGGAGACAAAGAGACACACAGCTCCTCTTGAGTTCATACATCTTTCTGAACTAAGGGTTTGCCACTTGTAATACGGCTTTTTGTTCAGGTTCCCTTGATAAGCTGACACCCAACCATTAGAGATGATAAGCCCTTCCTACCAAAAATCAGCCTTACACAGGCATACCTCAGAAATATTGCAGGTTCAATTCCAGACCACTACAATAAAGTAAGTCACACAAATTTTCTGGTTTCCCAATGCATACACAAGTTATGTTTATACTATACTGTAGTGTGTTAAGTGTGCAGCAGCATTATGTCTTAAAAAAAAAAATGAAACAATGTACATACCTTAATTTAAAAAATACTTTATGGCTAAAAAATACTAACCATCACCTGAGCCTTAAGTGAGTCATAGCAGTAACATCAAAGATCACTGACCACAGATCACCGTAACAAATATAATAATGAAAAGTCTGAAATATTGCAACAATTACCAAAATGTAACACAGAGACATGAAGTAATAGCAAATGCTCTTGGAAAAATGATGCCAAATCAGACTTGCTGGACCCAGGGTTGCCACAAACCTTCAATCTGTAAACAGTACCCGTGAAGCACAATAAAGCGAAGTGCACTAAACGAGGTATGCCTGTGGCCAGTTCGCCTGATGTGCTCCTATAAAGCCGAGCTGGGAGGCTTGGTGTCAGCAGACAGCACTCACCTGTTCCCAGGCATGGGAGACCTGACATCAAGACACAAGTCAAGGTTCACAGGAAAATCACAGCGTCCCAAGGAAGGACAGTTCTAGGATCAGGAGGGAAATGGGCGTCCCCACGGGGGCAGACAGGGGTGGGGCCGCCACAAGGGAGCAGACACAGGGTTCAGGAATGGCTGCAGAGCGAGCAGATGGATTCAGTTCTATGAAAAAGCAGTATCGTAAGAACACAGACTAGCCAAAGAAGCCACAGCTGGAAAACCATAGGCAGTAGCTGCCTTGTGGCCTTGGATGTCAGATATGGGGAGTAAAAACTATATGGTAGAAGTAAACAGAATTTATAATCAATTAGAACTAAGTTTAAACTCAAGCTTTATCTAATTTTATTACTTTGAGCAAGTTATTTAACCCCTTTAAGTCTCATTTTCTCCACATTTACTAAAGTTACTAATAAGATCAACCTCACAAAACTGTTGTGAAGAGGAAAACAAATAATTAAGCGGAAGCATAAAAAACCTAATAGGGGCTTAATGACTGTTGATTGCTTTGCATAAGCAGTATGAATTTTAACCCTAGGCTACATGAAGCCACAGGACATCTCTGAACAGATACATGTTATAAATTTATCTGGTACTTTAGGAAACATTGTATGACTCGGAGGAAATTGAGCATAATAGTTAAGAGCATGAACTCTGGAATCTGACCAACTTCTCTGAATCTTAGCTCCAATGCTCATTAGCTTGGATGACACTGAAGAAATCATTTAACATTTTCAAGCCTCAGTTTCATCATCTATTAGGTGGAATAATAATTACTTCATAGGATTCTTATAAGCACTGAACAGAGCACATACAAAGTGGTTAGCACAGTTCATGGCACATAAGAGATACCCAATAAATGGTAGTTATATTACTTTTTACTAAATGGCAGAAAAGGAGATCAGTTCACTATATTAGTCTAAACAATAAACTATGAAGGCTTAGCAGGGAGATAGAATAAAAAGAACACTGTAAAGGTCAATGGCAGTGTGGCCACCAGATCAGCAGGATCACTAAGAACCTATCAGAGCTACAAATTTTAATGCCCCCTCCCAGAATCACTGAAGCAGAAATTTTAAGAGTGGAGCTCTGCAAACTGCTTTAATAAGCCCTTCAAAAGATCCTGATGGATGCTAAAGCTGGACAGTGAAGTGAAAGTCGCTCAGTCGTGTCCGACTCTGCAACACCATGGATTACACAGTCCATGGAATTCTCCAGGCCAGAATACTGGAGTGGGTGGCCATTCCTTTCTCAAGGGGATCTTCCCAACCCAGGGATCAAACCCAGGTCTCCGCGTCACAGGTGGATTCTTTACTAGCTGAGCCACCGGGAAGCCCAAAGCTGGAGAACCACTGGTCTAAAGAATCAGTCTTCAACATGAACTAACTAGTAAATAGGCACCGAGGGTCTTTTATTACAAGAAGAAAGGTTTATCAATGACTGTACACACCGCCTCTCAGTTGGGATCTCTGCTTCCAGGCCTATTCCATTTAGCAAACCTCCATAAGTAAAAACATCTCCCAGTGTCAACAGCTTAAGAAAGGGAGCAGTACTCTCTGCTACCATTAGGATCTATGGCCTCAATGTGAAGGTTTTCTTAACCTAATGTGGGCCCTACCTGGGGGAGCTGGCCTTCAGGAACCCCATCTCGGTAGAAGATGATGCGGGTAGGCTTGAAGCGGGTGGACTTGTAGAACTGGATGAGCAGCTCACGTACCATGTAGGATAAGTCTTCAATGATCTCCTGCCGAGGTCGCTGCACCCGCACCGTAGCACAGTAACGGCTGGGGTGGGCATCCATGCTGCCTACGACCTGATAATCAAAGAGGCAGGATCAGCTCCCAAAACCTCCACCCTCCCAACACTGTTAGTTTGGGGTTTGGGGAAAGACTTCTTAGTAAAAAAAAAAAACTACGAAATCAAATGAGAAGGTCTTTTGGATTCAATAGCCCTGGTTTCAATCTCTGTTCTATCACACAGATGGAAGTTATTTAACCCACCTGATCTTCTTGTTCCTCTTCTCAAATGAGTAACGCCTGCTTGCAGTACTGGTGTGGCACACGTAAGTCATCATGCACGGGACCTCACCCACAGTAGGTACTTGCTAAATTTGATTTTCCCACCCCTTGCAGGGGGCATGTGATGGTCTGGCACTATTAGCTCAAGGAATGACCTCATCCAAAAGACAAGCTAATCGCTTCTTCAAGTGCTAATCTACCCGAGGAACTACAGTGAAGAGTGTTCTTGTGGGTGGTAGGAATAACATTATTTTCTAAGGGGACAGTGGCCAGAGACTAGGATGGATGGCCACAAGGAAAATAAAGATAAGCATAGTATAGGGTTTCCCCATATTTACTGAGATAGGCCCAGTCTGCCTAGAGAAACATGAAGGTTCAAGAAAAACAAATGAGAAAGAAGGCCTGGTCCCATTAGTCAACTGAGAAGCCCTGAGAAACAGGAAGCAGAGATGTCAGGAGTGGGATTAGAGAGCTATCTAATCTACTCGATGCGTCAGGGGTACAGACAGCAAAGAGCAAAACTAACTAAGTAATTCACTTAAAAGGGGTTTCAGAGAAGAGATATGGTCCTTCCCATATCCCAAAAGTGGGCACAGAGAGAAAGAGGGAAATTCAAACACAGAACAAAAGTGATGGAGACATAACCAAGTTTCTGGCCCCAGCCTACTCTCTCACTGCTCTCTCTGAAAAGAAGATACCATACAGAGTTAGCTTTATTAAAAAACCAAGGGACTGGTTAACGGGGATGATCAGCTGAAATAAAAAGATCTTGTGAAAGGTCAAGCAACAGAGTTGAGGGAAGGAAATCAGGTGTAGTCTTGGGGACTCAGAAGAGAACCTTATGGGGGAAGCTGGAAAGTATCACTCACTGCTGTGATAGAAGGTTTTTTCCCATCCCCTGCTGGTGGGTGTGTAACATCTGCTCCCAGGAATATCACTGGTTGCTGAAAGACTGCAGAGCTAAACAAGGAAGAGAAAACAAATGGTGAGGAGTTGGGTCTTCTTTCCCTGGCACCATCTAGCACCCACTTTGGTCCCCTCTCCCTTGTGACTCACTCTGCCTGGACAGTGTCCTATCTTTTCATCAATCTCCAGTATATTACCTTGCTTGACAAGGGCAAGTAAGCAATAGAGTTCATACCGCTGGTGTGGGACTAGGATGTTGTTAATGCCACCAAGTTTGACATTGATCTTCAGGCAAAGGTTAGACAGAGTCTGAGGTGAGGTCTTGACCACGTTCTTCACTTGCACACACTGTGTAGCCATTCCCAAGAGAGTATCTCCAACACGTTTCACTTCAGCTATGAGCAGGGAAAGAACTGATTAGTGCATTCAGCAAATACTTACTAACTGTCTACCTGATTCCAGGAAGCGTACGAGGTACTAGGGAACACAGTGGTGACCAGAAACGCATAGGGTCCCTACTCTTACAGTGCTTACCATCTAGTGACTGATTTTAAAAATCATAAAAAGCGTAACAATGATAAATGCTACAACAGGAAACTTCACAGAGCTATGACGCAGAGAGCATATGATATAGTGTAATAACCTAGCCAGGAAAGGATTCTTCACTGAACTGAAATTTAAAGGTAGAAAAGAACTTACAAGGGAGAGAGAATATGGAAGAGTACATTCCAGGCCAAGGGAAGAGCAGGCAAAATGCACTCCGATAGGTGACAGAAACAAACTGAAGAAACTGAGAGGTCAAACCACCTATAAAGGAGGGCAAAGGAACTGCCGTGTGAGAGAAAGAAAGTGGTGATTAGACCGACCTAGGAAAGAAATGAGGGTAGGTTAAGAAGGCAGTTGTCAGAACGGAGAGAAACAGATTCAAGAGACTATGTAAGGAAAAGTAATTTTTATGGATAACTTATGAGTTTCTAGACTTTTGTGATAGAACAGACAGATCTTAAGTTCTTTTTGAAACATTTTGAGTTTGAAGTGCTTTTTGGTCATCCCAGTGAGGATATCAATCAGGCAACTGAGTACAGCAATTGTAAGTTCAAGAGTAGTCTGAAATGGAGATGTAAAATATGACATATTTAGGTACAGGTAGTAATTGAAGATATGATCTTGAGATCAACAAGGAAGAGAACAGAGTGAAAGAAGAGGGCTTAAACTCGATTCTTGAGGAGCTTACAATACTGCAGAACAGGAAGAAGATGAATCTGCAAAGGACAAAAATCCAGATATCTAGGAGGAAGATCAAGACAGTATTGCAGCATGAATGCCAGGGAAGAAAGAGTGTTTCAAGAAAGAGCAAGTGTTCAACCAAGTCAAATGCTACTAAGAGGTAAAACAAGGACCAGAATTTTGTGACAGCAAGGCAAAAATAAATGGATAGAGGCAAAAACTGTTTTCGGTAATATCAAATACCATGAAGGAAACATGGGATCAATAAACAGTATGATATATTTTCAATGGGAGAAATTCGAGACTGTTTAAAAAGCTAAGGGATCATTTTTATCTCCAAGAGATATGGTCAGAAGGAAACCAGTGTGTGCTGAGAACATTCAGGGAAACCATTCAGGAATTTATGAAAAAATTCATAAATCATCTTTCTGAAGGCAGTAGAGAGGTGCTAAGACAAAAGAAGTGGAAGAGCTAACACTCCATAGAGGAAGAGAATCTCACAGAGGTGAGCCATCTGCTGCAGCTGCTTTGCCCTGGGTACATTTGCTGATTCTAGATGTGGGCAAGAGGCTGAGATTCTAGGCTTTGCACCAAAAGAGGAACCACTGCCAAGGGACAGAGAAAGCAACAGCTGTTTCTGGCAAACACAAGCTAGTTCTAAATGTGAAAGGTTAAAAAAAACATTTAAAAGAAAACACAGACTAGTATCTTCGTGACCTTACGATTTCTTCAACAGGACTCAGAAAATACTAGCCATAAAGGAAAAATATTGATAAACAGGACTACATTAAAATTTTACATTTCTGTTCAACAAAAGAACCCATTAAGAAAGTAAAAAGGCAAGCTACAGATATGTGTAGTACACATAATATTTAATAAAGGAATTATAAAGAACATCTAAGCCAATAAAAAAAAGAGAAAGACTTGAGCAGGCACCTGTCAAAAGAGGCTAGTGAAACAGCCAATAAAAATATAAAAAGATACTCAACCTCATCAATCACCAGAGAAATAAAAAAGCACAATGCAGTATTAACAAACACCCAGAAAAAGGGCTAAAATTCAAGTGACAATACCAAGTTTGATAAGGATGTAGATAACTAGAACTCTCATTTGCTGCTGATGGAAGTATACATCTGTACACTTAAAATCCCTCCTAGTTACACACCCAATAGAAATGGGCACATATATCCAAAGGACATATACAAGAATGTTCACTGAAGCATTATTTATAATAGTAAAAGCCTGAAACAACCCAATTATGTCCATTAACAGTAGAATGGATAAACACATGTAAATTGTGTTAAAATCATATAATGGAAAAACTATAACAAACTAAAAAACATGGACAAATCTAAAAATGTTGAGTGAAAGAAGACAGACACATAAAAACGTACATGATATATGACTCCATTCATATAAAGTTCAAAGACAGTCAAAACTAATCTATGGTGTTAGAAGCCAAAATAACAGTGGTTACCACTGATGGTAAGTTGCAGTAATCAGTAGCCTGGGACTGTGGTAATGTTCTACTATCAGAACTAGGTACCCCTGCTGTGACACTCTGTGAGAATTCACTGAATTAACCACAAAAGATCTTTATATGTATATTATACTTTAATAAAAAAATTACATTAAAAAATTATATCAATTTAGAGGAGAGGAAGGAGTTAAAAATACTAAGGACAGGATGAGGCATGTAGGCAGATTGTAAGTGCAAATGTGACAGTGTCCTTTTATACTTTGGGGGCAACTATAATGCATGTGGACCTTGTCTTGACTACCACTTGGCCTCCCAGGAAGGACGGTGAAGGATCTTTCAAAGAATCTGACTGCTCCTCCTATGTGCAGGCTTAATTCCTAGTCAAATGCCCCCATTACCTAAGTGGTATAATCAAAAAAGAACATGTAAGTGAAAGAAACCCAAGGTCATAATCAAGGTATCAAGCTGGAAAGAGGTATAAGATGACTGAGCCCAGGGTAGGGAAAACTCTCTAACACCTGACTTCTCCAAGCATGCCATACTACACTACACAGGGAGGCCAAAAATATTCGATTCTCCCTTTATGGAGGGAACCAGAAACATGGCTAATTATTCAAGGCAATTCTCCTAAAAAGCATCCTTATTTTCTAACCAAGGGACATCAATTTAAGGCCCAAGAGAGATGTGGATTGGAGATCAACCAACTTTGATAAGTACTGAGTATCATATGTCAGTGGAAGGCTCTACCTTGGTATGTATGTACAGAGGGAAGAAGATTTTGAGCAGAATCAGATCCACTCCATGCTCAAAACAATTAACTGATCAGCAACCTGATGCAATTTCTAGATGAATCCAGAAAGAGACCAGTTAATCTTCCAGGTAGGATGACAAGAGAAAGCTTCCAGGAATAAGTATGTTTAAATTAGAATTCAAAGGATAGAGAGAATTTTAAGGGCAAGGTGGGGCATAAAAAGAGTAGATATTCTAACCTAAAATCACAGTCCATCTCTTTCTATACCACCTTATCCTTTCTTTACTTTCTTTACACCTTTACCCTTTCTTCATAGCACTTCTTGTCTTGCTCCTCGACTGCAATGTAAACTCCTCAGGGCACAACTTTGTCTTGCTGCTGAAGTCCTAGCACCAAGAAATGGCCAATACATGGTAGGCTCTCAATAAAGACCTGCTTGGGAGGAAAAAAGACTAAATAATTAAGAGCTTCTGATTTCCAGGCATTGGAAGTTGTGCTTGCTTGATTCTATTTTGCTGTTAATCTGTATCACATTGAGACCAATGACAGATGATGATTTGCATGTGAGGAAATTGGGATTACTCCTTGACAAGGTGGCATTATCCAGTATGAAACCTAACCAAAATGCTGCCCTACTGGAAATACACAGATACTACTAAGAGCAAATAAAACAAAAAAAGTATTTAGAGATTCCAGGCAAAGGCAAATGATGTTAAGCAAAACCAGAGACTGGAAAGCACACAAGGAATGCACATTTAGAGAGCATCTACTAGGTCACAGGCACTGTGTTAGATGCTTTTATATAATTAATTAATGAGGCTGAGAAAGGTTAGGTAACCTGACTAAGACAGTAAACTGGCATAGTCAGGATTAAAATCCAGCTCTATCTAATTCCAGAACAAGTGATCTTTCTGGTATATGTAGCAAAGACATGTACAATAAGAAGCTGAAAGGGTTAAACTAAGATCAGGGCCCCAAAAAAACTTCTATTTTGTGAATGGGGACTAATGAAGGTTTTTTTTTTTTTGACAGTACCATCACAAAAAGTCTCATCCAATAATCTATACAAGAAAGACTTAAGAAGAAATGTTAGAATTAAATTGAGAAGAATGGGTGGCGAACAGGGAATACCTCTTAACATTGTATAAAAAAAATAGCATTAAAGGTAAGCAAAGAGAAGACAGACTGCCCCCAAAGTTTGGATAAAGGTACCCAGAAGCAACTGTGATACCAACACAGAAGAGAAAAGTAAAGAGAAGGGCTCACTGATAGACAGAGAACACAAGCTACCAAAGAGACAGTTCACCAGCACACTTTATAAGAGCAAAGGGCACAACTATTTTATCCACGCATGTATTCAGTATCAATCGGCGTTTCTTTTCATACACAGTAGGTGATCAATGAACTCTTGTGGAAAGAAGCAAAGTCAGAGAAAGAGATAGGAACTGCAGAGAGGTCAAGTGTTGAATGAAGATTTTAATAATACATGATAACATCTAACAATAGTTGATGACTGAAACAACTGAAATGTATGAGAATTTCACTAGAATGAAAAGAGAGAAAAAGAGGACAGAGTACAGAATTTTGGAAAATGCCAGGCATTCCTGGTAATGACAAAAACAATTAAGGAGAGACAGGAGAAAGTATCAAGAAGTCAAGAGGAGAAAGGTCATTGGTGACTCTCTGTAGAGGAGGTTTAGGAGACTGGAAGAGGTTAAGATAAACGAAAAAAGCTAAGCAGCAGGCAGCTGGTGATGAAGTGGGGATAGAAAATGTACAGAACACATTTAAAAACTCTTCTTCAAGTTTTTTTTTTTCTTGAAGAAAAGCAAGAAAATAGGAAGAAAAAAAACTAAAGGAGACGGCATGACTGTGGTAATGTGCTCTAAAGATGTTTGAGGGTCAAAGTGTCCCAAATGCAGCAGGATGAGAGAAACAAAGGGTACACATGGGTTGAATAAGATCAGAGGAGAAACACCTCCTCATTTGAAGAGGAAAGTTGGAGAAGGAAAAAAAAAAGTGAGAGAAAAACACTGAGGCAGAGATGGATATAGTCATTTCCATTCTTAAAAGAGAGGAAAACAGAAGGAATATGTCTCAAAAATTCTAAGTCATTCCCAGCAATGGAACACCAACAGAACCACCACAAATTCCGCTGGGGTGTGCTGCCCTGTGGCCTGACAGACAATGTACTCCTAAGGATAGGAATCTGGACTGACCGATCCCTGCATCTGGCTCAGCTTAGCCTTGCATAAACACCAGCACACAGAGGACTGCAGTAAATGCTACTGAAAGGGAGTGTGAGCAGGTAAACAGGACCAGAGGTGACTGACTGGCTCATTTAAGTTGATATTTCTCCTCTAGGAGGAACACCGACAGCAAGGACCAGCTCCGGCTAGGGTCAAGAATCCACACTGAGTCATGCCTAGGGTCTTCCAGGGAGCTACCCTGAGAAGAGTCCTATCACTGTAATCACTACTCCAAGAGAACTGTACCATACACTGGCGTCTTCCCAGGCAGGATGACGATAATGAGCTGCAGCCCTGAGTAGGTGTTCTTGAGATGCCGGAACATGGGCTCCACGCTGTCGGCCCCCTGCGCGTATTTGCAGAAGCAAGGCTGGCCCTGGATGGGCATCCCTGCATCCTTGGAAATCTTCCGCAGCTGGTCGGTGAAGTTCCTGCAGCATAAGCATGATCACAACAAGAGGCAGTAAGTCTCACTGGAATACTTCTAACCAAACGCCTCCATCTTAGGTCCCCAGCACTATGACAAGCACTAACAGACTCTAAGAGGAATGAGACATCATCACATCTAGTGTAAAAACCACATTTATTGTTGGGTAGAACAAGGCAGGACTTGCTAAGTGTTCAATGGTATAAACAGAGAGCTGAGGGAGCCCAGAAAAACCACCTGTGGAAATTCTCGAAGATTCCCACCTTGCCCACTCAAGCAGCTTGTTCCTGTGTTCTGAGTCTACAGCAATAGGAAGATGTCCAAGAGGAAGGCCTCTTGGCTCAAATTAAAACAAATGAGCTTCCAACAGTGATCAGAGAACAGGAGATCCTCGGAAAAAATGTGCTCCCTCCTCCCCCATGGGTTCTTTGAAGCCTGAGAGCAAATAATTAAACAAGCTTTTTTCTTTTGGTTTTAGAGCTTTACCCTAAGAAAGGAAGACAAAGTTGGAAAAGAGGGTACACATGCAATAGATTAAAAAAAAAATCAAGCTACATAAATATGACAGACTGAAAGGAGCAGCGAGAAATTTAATTTGTGAAAAACCTGTATTTAGATTAAAAGCAACAAGGTACAGAGAATAAAAGCAATTGTTTAAGGGATGTTATTATATAGCATACAAATATCAATAAGATGGGTTTAAAAACCTATGCAGTGAGAAAATAATTTTTTTCAATCAGTTAAAAAAAAATCCATGAGATTAATACAGTACAACATGGTTGTGTAAAATTTTAAACCACTTATATAGGTATATAACATATATAAATTGGATAGAAAGGTTACAGTAATTCAAGAAAGTGACTGCATCAGAAAGGAGAAATGGGACTAGAACGGAGGATATAAAGGACTGTCAAATTTATCTGAAATATTTTATTTACTTTTTAAAAAGGATAAAACAAACATGACAATACTCTGGATGATAGACACATGGATGTTTTCCATATTACTCTATTTTTTTAAGGTTTTCAAATAACATTAAAATAAAAAAATATATTATTTAAAACTAAAAATATTATTTCATGTAACTAAGTGCCAGGGCTCTGAACGACTACTGAGAGTGTTTCTTCCACTTCTCTGCTGTGCATACAACTGCAGCATAGCTATTAAAAAGCCAATGTGTTAACTAGCTTCCACTAATAAGTGGGTCTCTACTTCAAGGAAAGTGGTATTGCCTATCTTCTATTACCAGATCATACTTCAGATATTATGTCCAGTGCTGGGGGCCTCAAAGTGTTGAGAGAACTCTAATGGGGAATGTCTTAAAATCTTGTCCTAAAAGTGACACAGCTGAGGTAACAGGGCCTCTTTAGCCAGAAGAAAAATTCTGAGGGTTGACCCTAAGACTCCCTTATCCATCCCCAATTACCAACTGCTCTACCTCCATGGCCATCTTCATCTCTTCCCTTTATGTCTTGGAAATGATGGCTTTTCCTGTGCTCTGGATCCCATTCCTTCATACACATGTAGGAACTTTGTTCTATTTCCTTTCTCGTTTTTCTGGATTCTATTTTCAGCCTCTGTCACTACGCACATTTTCCGTAGACAATCTCATCCACTGCCATAGCTGAAAACTCCCAAATCTTAAATCTTTAGCCCAGGACCATACAAGCAACTGGCCCAGGTATACAAGTCACATATTACCCCCTGCATCCAGAGATCACTGCAAGAAGGTTGTTGTCTGATGAATCGAAACTACTTCCAAATCAAAGATTCTAGGTTTATCAGTTTCCGTGCCCCAAAATATCCAAACAACGAATCGCTTCTCAAAAGAACAGGACGGGGGAAGACACGAGAGTGAGAAACATGCCCAGAAGAGAACCACCCCAAGGTGACACAGAGGCAGAGCTAAGCGCCTTTCTGACACTGGTTAGGAAATCAGCCCTCCCAAGCCCGGCCAACGCTAAGAGCAGGCCTCAATGGGGCCAAAATCCCGAGAACTCAGGAGAGGAGAGAAGAGATACTCATTTAAGAGAACTAAAATTGTGATGGAGGTGGCTGTGCACCTGTGAGGGGAGACGGAGGGCCACAGTCTCTACATTCATCAGGTGCTGCTGTGACCAGTTCTTATGAGAATCCCAAGATCAGGTGAACCCACCAGGGCACACATCTCTACTGACTTTCATCAGTGCCCAAAGTGGTCAGCTCCACTGATTTTTTCTCAGCTCCAGAATGCACTGACCTTACTCCAGATCCAGAGAAAACAAAGAGCCAGCACTTCAAAGGACAGCAGGAACTGAACTGCATACTTCTAATGGGTAAATTTTGTGGTATTTGAAAAATAAGACTGCAGGGGGAGAGTCAGTGATCTCTTCACTTATTCACTCACTCATTCAAGACCATTATTCCCCTAACCGATTCCTTTAAGCAGCTTGGCTATCTCACTTTCTTTGTTGCTGTCATCTACTCTCAGCTACTCAGCCACAGGTGGCTCAGAGGCCCCTACAACTCATGTTCACCTAACTCAGGTCACTTGGCCCCAACTGAACAAATTCTGTCCATAGGAAAGGACAGCTCAGAGTACCAGCTAAACTTTTATTTCTAATTAGGAATATAAGCTCTGAAACGTCAGATCTGATTTGCCCCCAATTTGACACTTTCTTGATAATGCAAACCTTGCACAAGTTACTTAACCTCTTTGAGCCTCAGTCTCCTGAAAATGGAAATACCACCACTACTCACTGTAAAGATGAACTAAGAGAACACAAAATTAGGTACAATGTCAGCATAAATATTACAGTCATCACTACTACTATTTACTACCCATGTTAAATATTGTAACAATAAAACAATTCAGGTCTCCCTTAGAAGGTTCATGTCCTAAAATGATCATCTCTGACACAGATATGGCTCCTTACCAAGACTCCTGACCACAGAGGAACAGAAAAGAAGCAGGGAGAAGTTTAAGCCAAATAGCAGAGGGGGCAGAGTCGAAAGTCAGGAAAAACAGACTACAGAGCAAATCTTGGCCCCCTCGGGAGTAGAGGAACTTAGGCAGCTCCAGGGTCCTTCCCACCTTCCCACCCATACACTCAGCCTCCTTACTTGAGCACTTCTTCTCGACACTGTTTTTGGGGTGCGAAGCAGGCGATGGCCCAGACTTTGATCTCAATGCCATTGTAGAACTGTTTCCCCCGCATGTCCCAGACACCCTGATTGGGTGTGGCAATGGCCCGGTTCTGGGGATAGGCAGAGGGGGCGCCCAGGTGAGCCTCAATAAAGCCAGGTGGGTAGGGGAGCAAAAGCCCCTGGCTGTAACAAGCCAACCTCCCCCCATAAGCCCCAGAGACGCTGTCTGGCCCTGACCCTGCTCACCCGGCCGCCGTACTGCAAGATGGGCGCCGGCAGCACTCGTCCCGTCACCTCCGTCATGTCATCCTTCACCTTGATCCCAAATTCCTGGATGTAGGGATCTAGGTTGTAGCTGGCATTCTTCATCTGCAAAACAAAAGAAGGGGATCTCAGGAGAGCGGTAGCTTGGCAATCCTGCTCACCCTCTGGGTCCCAAGCAGAAAGCCCTGAAGAGCAGCTGAGGCTGGTAAGGAATACCCCTAGAAAGGGGGAGAAAGTGGAAGATGAGGTAAGTGGAAGCAGATAACACAGGGAAGTAACAGAGGAGAAAAAAAAGAGATAGGAAGCAAAGCAGCTACAGGGTCAAGAAGCAAGAGCAGTCCCAGGTAACCAATCCAGACTTGTTTTCCTAAGAGTCCTGCCAAGTCAGAAAAGCATCTACTTGCTACCAGGGACTTCCATGACTGAGCAACCAAGCATACGTTTCTCTGCATCCTCACTGACCAGGCGGCTAATCTCCTCTTGTCTGTCTGGGGCCGATCTAGCTGTAGCCTTTATCATGGTTGAAGTCTGGTTGTCAGTCAGCTTCTTAATGCAGCGCTGCCCAGCCACAATGTTACAGACCTAAGGAAACGAGAAGAACAGGTAGCGCTGGCTTGAGTAGAGTCCACCCTGTACCCAGAGCCCCACAGAAAGGCCCTGGCTGCCAGTCCTGGAAATGAACTACAAAATCTCTTGTTCACAGACAGGTAGGTTAGAAAACATTCATGTGCATTACAAAAGTCTATATAGCCACTTTGTGATTAAGGGCTTAGGATCCAGAGCCAGATCTGGGTTCAGGGCTCATATGTTAAATACAGAGAACAGTAACAATTGTTTGGAGACTAAATAAAATAAAGCACTTAAAGAATCAAGTACAGTTCTGAACATAGTAAACATCAGTGGTGGTGGTTTAGTCACTAAGCCGTGTACGACTTTTGCAAGCCCATGGACTGTAGGCTGCCAGGTTCCTCTGTAAATGGGATTCTCCAGGCAAGAATACTGGAGTGGGTTGCCATCCCCAAACACTTAGTGAGTTGTAGCATAAATTATTATTTACCAAAGGACCCAACCTAGAACTTCTTTGAATACTAAGAAAACTCAGTATACACAAACTGGATCCTTAGATAGTAGGCAGCTGTCCAATGGTAGCAGGCAGCAGGCTGTTCCATCCTGCAACACACCAGGAGAACTAGACCTGGTTGGTTCTAAAGCCCCAGAATACAGATGGCCGCTGAGCCCCTGGACCACAGAAATCACTGTCTCTGTTGACTGACAGTGTACGAGGAACATCTTACCACATGGTTCCTCTGACTGGGCCTAAGAGAACACAGTGAGACCAGAACAGACTTTCTAGTGATATATAAGATTTTCATTCTATTGCTTCCTGAATATACACAATATTCAGGAAGCCGTGAACAGGAAGTCTTTTGGCAGAGGAGAGAGAAACCACAGGTTTGGAAAACTTGAGTTTGAAGTCCAGCTTTGCCAATTCTACATGACGTTACCTTGGGCAGGACTCTTAACCACTCTAAGACTCTGCTTCTTTAATTTTAGTCACAGGAAAAAACACTAGCTGTGTCTCGAAGCTGTTGTGAGGACTGAGATGAAATGAAATGTAAAACTTGCTTCCACAGGGCCAACACTCTAAGTACTGATTCTCTGCCTAATTTCCAGAGTTCATGGTAACAAGGGTAGGGAAAACCAGGACAAGGTCACCTACTCTTAAACTCTGTATTTCAAAGAATACACATTAGTCAATTTACTTAATGAAAACCCAGAACTGTTAAAATTCGTGAGGTTGCTCTCCTGAAGGCAATTTAAAGGTGCAGATAATTTCAATTACAGAATCAACACTAGGGAAAAAAAGCAGAGATGTGGAGAAACTGGATCCCTTGTGCATTGCTGGTGGGAATGTAAAATGGTACACCTGTGTGGAAAACAGTATGGTAAGTCCCCAAAAAACTAAACACAGAATTACCATATGATCCAGTAATTCCACTTCTGGGTATGTACTCAAAAGAAACGAAAGCAGGGACTAAAACAAATATTTGTACATCTATCTTCACAGCAGCATTATTCATAATAGCTAGAAGGTGAAAGCAACCCAAGTATCCATCAATAAATGAATGGATAAACAAAATGTGTTATATACATACATGGAAATATTATTCAACCTTAAAAAGGGAGTTGTGACATACACTACAACATAGATGAACTTTGAAGACATTTGCTAAGTGAAATTGGCCAGTTTAAAAAGGCCATATATTTAAAAAAAAATAAAAAGACCATATATTATATAATTTCATTTTTATGAGGTGTCCAGGATAGACAAATCCATAGAGACAGAAGCAGATTAGAGATTAGTAGGGGCTAGTGCAGAGGATAGAAGGGATGGTAAGTGACTATTAAGGGGTGTGGTCTTGCTTTGGGGGATGATGAAAATGCTTTAAAATCACACAATGGTAATGGTTATGCAATTCTGTGAATACACTAAAAACCATTGAATTGTACATTTTAAGAGGGCAAACTTTATGGGATGTGAATTATGTCTCAATAAAGCTATTCTGAAAAAAAGACATCGCCTACAATAGCCTATATGATTTGACCCTGCACCTCTCCCCAAAGCCACCTCCCACTTTTCTCCTCATTAACTGCATGCCAGTCACTATGCCCTTCTGTCTCTCTCAAGAATATCCAAGCTCTCTGCTGCCTACCTACTTGCTATTAAACTCATGCCTGAAAGGTTCTTCCTTCAGGTTGTTAAAAGATAGGTTCTATCTCACGATTTGGAACTCAGCTCAAATGTCTCCTAAAAGAAGCCTTCCCTGACCACAAAAACTAAAGTGAATCTCCAAACCCCTCCACTTTATGGCTGTTCCCTTAACCTTATGACACTTACCACCATCTGAAACTATCTTATTTGTCTATCTCCCCCTTCTAGATTTTAAGCTCCATGACAGCAAGGACCCTGCCTCTCTTGTTGCCTTCCTGGCACCTAGGAGTGTATGACTTTAGTAGGAGCGCATTAAATATTTGTTAAGTGAACAAGCAACAGTAAAAACCAAAATATGTCATTATATAAGTTATTCACCATGGAAATTATTGTTTAAACAGAAATCATGTCAATTTGCTAACAGATCTCAGCTTGCAACAGATATTACCTAAAGCCTATCTACTTAGCTGGAACTGCCCCTAAAGACTTCTGCTTACATCTCAGAGAACATGCTGTCCTCATCTCATTTTCTATGCATCAGCAGCTATTAACTGTGTCAGAGTTCTTGGGTTTGGGGATCTCTTCTTTCTCCCGTTAGCCTAATTTCCTCTGGTTAGTTCTGAAATCCCAAAAGCTCACAGAAGGCTTAGGTCCCAGATACCTGACTCCCACTGCTAGAACAGAATAAGACAGTAATCTAGGCTAGTGCTTCTTCAATATAAACATTCATATTTGACAGAATCTTTGGATTCTGTAAAAAGAGATACTGATAAAGCAAATCTAGGTGGAACCTGAGATTCTGCATTTCAAACAAGCTTTCAGGTAATAACTATGCTCTTGGTCTGCTGACCACACTTTGAGTAGCACAGGACTAGACAATGAAGCGGTCAGAGGCAGGTTCTCAGTAGGCATTCTGGCTGCCAAAAGGGAAGCCCTAAACATTATGGCTAGTGTATAACAAAACAAATACAGACTAGTGGTTCTTCATTTGCATTCTATGACTTAAAAGAGCATTACTATTCTTTCTTTAATTGCAGAATTTCAAAGGTTGGCTGAAGCATAAAAATATGACAAATCTTGGTTAAAACTTTTTCAAAAGGAACACATTGATGACTAGGGAAATAGGATTCCCATTACAGGTAACATTCACCTCCAATATCTGTAAAATAAAGTACATTTGTATCTTTAGGTTATTTACGATTCCCAGCTCCAGACAGGGAAAGAGAAATTAAGAGGACATGAGTGTATCTTAGAGTGTTCATTATCTTTATTGTAGTGATGGCGTCATGAATACATATGTCAAAACGCATCAAATGGTACACTTAAAATGTGCAGTTTATTGTATGTCAACTATAAATAAAGCCATACAAAAATGAAAAAAAAATAAATAAATAAAGGATATGCATGTAGGTATCTGAAATCTCTGTCCTGAATGAATTAATTACTTATTAAACAGTAAATATATACAGCTTCGCCTCTGCCTGGCAGTCCTGAAAAACCATGAGAGCAGGACGGAGGATAAGTAAAGAATTCAGCAGTTAAGAAGGATGACTGCGTTTCACAGAATGTCTTCTAAGAACATCACTTTTCAAGCCTTAAAATGATGAGACTATAAATAGAAGAACAGACCTCTGATGACCTGTGTGCAGGTACAATGCTTGTTCCCCAGCCCGGCCATTACTTGGCAGCCTCACCTCTAGGGGCAGGTAGGTATGCTTTTGTTCCTGGCCAACTTGCAGGCAAGGCAGGTGGGGATACTTGAGCTGCAGGTTATATTTCTGCTTGAAATACTGGGCCACTGTGCACTCCACTGTCTGTCCACTCTCCAGCTGCAGAGGAAAGCTGTTTGGGCGAAGGGAAAGAGGTGTCATAGTCCAGCATTCAATAACACCTTTCTAGACCTATAACCATGCACAGGGCCAGACTTGACTTCCTTCCTTTCCAGCCTCTGTGAGCACTCCTGCCACTCATGGTAAAACAGAGGCAACACAGGGCCCCAAGAGTGAAGCCAAAGATTTGAAAAACAGGTTACACAATGGTCAGATCATATCTGATTCATCTGTTATTTCTAATGTTGAGCATGAAGTCTGACACACGGTAGTCACTCATGGTCCAGCAGTCTGAAGTGAAGATTTTAGACGAAATCAGTGACAACTTTCCCCAAGGTCTAACCCAGGATCTCAGCTTTCTTTTTCAGGAGTAAGTTCAGAGAGATTCTAACATTTACAGAACTGAGAAAGAAGCCAGGGAAAGACACTTGCTCTACAGGAAAAGTCCAAGAAGGAAAGGTAGAGACCAAGAAGGTAAAATGGTAGGGAGAGTCTCTATCAATGGATCTGGGAATGTTAGGGGAGGGATGCCAAATTCCTACAGTTTATCTTCAAAAACAGAGCTCATCCTCAGGGCCAGGTGGGGGGATGGAGAGTGTGAACAGAGTATGTTGAAATATCGGCCCTCTTCCACCAGTGGTATGGCTTAGCAGCCCCATCAACTTACGTCTGATGGCTGGCAGGGCGGCGGGTAACATTACACACGCGGTATTTCCTCTTCATCTGTCCACAGTGGGTCACTTCCACCTTCAGGCCTGGGATACACACACTGCTTGTCAGAGTTGGAAAAGGTTGCTCATGTGCCCAGGCTTGGCCTCTCGCCTGAATATATCCCAAGGGGATTTCCTTTTAGAACTAAAGAGAAAGGAGCGCTGATTCCCCTCCCCACCTGGCTGGGTCCTCACCCTTGATCTCCTTGGTGAAGCGCACACGCTGAGAGTCCGTGAGGGCTTTGGGCTGCTCGTCTATGTTCCTGATGTCGAGCACCTCACACATGAACTCAATCACTGGCTGTGCCTTGTAGAAGGCAGTGGCTGAGACTGTGGGGACAGGGGAGGTACAGCTCAACTCAGATTCTGCCTTCCAGAACAAAGGGAGGCACTGCTCTGTACACCCTCTTCCTCACAGGGTACAGGGATGGGGGAGGGCTCCCAGGGCTGCAGGGATGAGACTAGGAGTGTGGTTACAGAGCTGGGAGGGATGAGGCTGGGAGTGTGGTCACTGGACGCAGGGTGCCCCTGGCTCCACGGCTCTCCCCACTCACCATCAATGTTGAGCATCATCTTCCACATGGCAGGGCGCACAGACTGGTGAAAGCCGAACCAGACCTCGCGCCCACCCCCCAGCGGGTGGTAGTAGCCCTCAGGCGGTGAGAAGAAGGAGCGGCCCACGGGGGTGTACCTGGCAGGGACAGGCAGAGAACTGGTCCCTCGGGCACAGGCCCCCACCCTGTGAGGCATCCTGGGCACGGAGGAGCCCTGGCCTGGAAGGCAGGACACCAGGGCTTTAATTCCAGCTCTCATCGTTTACTAGCTGTGTGACTGACCTTGTACAAGACTCTACCCTTTTTCTGCCCTGCAGAGACAGAAGGGGTGAGGTCCAAAAATAACTAAAAGGGACAGGGCCAAAGCTTTGTACCACCTAAATGTATATGCACACTTGCCTGGCATACAGTAGGGTTTCAAAGAATTTTTTATTTGAAAGGCATAATGTGGGACCTTAAAATATATGCTCATTTCCCTCCTCCTCCCATACACTCCTGCCACCACTAGCAGCCCAGATATTAACTACACCAAGTACCTCATGGATGCCAGGTGCCTCATGGCTACATCCAGGGCTTGCACAGACTCCAGGGGAACAGGGATCTGGCCACTGACCAAGGCTTCATGCAGCATGCGCCAGCTCACAATGGCCAGCCACTTGATGGAGACCTTGAAGATTCGATCCTTCCCTTCCCCAGGAATTGTCACCTCAAAGTCAACCTTCAGGAAAGAGAAAGGAGTGAAAGATTTCCAATGCTTTCCCACAATTCAATGTTCCTTGCCCTGCCCCTACTGTCCCTAACCCCTAAGATTTGCCAAGAATCTGCTTCTTAGGCTGGTAAGGACTCACAATGAAGACTTCTGAGTAATCCAGCCCCTGAGTCTCCAGCCACCTTGGCTCACTGTATCTCTCTGTCCCTCTCAACCACACTTAGTAGGAAGTCCTTTAGGTCTGTTTTAAGTTTAATCTTAGTCTGTTTGGGACACGGACAGACATACAGTAGGCTAAATAAACATAAGCACCTACCCATCCCTCAACCTAAAACACACTTTCTCAGCACAAACAATGAAAGGGATCTCCAGACACCAGACTCCAAATAGGCTTACGTGACCTCTGTCCCTCCCCAGACCCTTGACACAGATCCAGCATGACTCCCAACCATACCCGTTCGTTGCCAATGGGCAGTGCTGTGACAGTGTAAATGTTCTTCTTTCCATCATACACGGGCTTGCGATCACCAAAGATCTGAGGCTTGAAATGCTGGACCATGTATTCCACCACTTCCCTGTGGAGAATGGGAAAGGCCAGAGGAAGCTGAAAGACTACTATTTCTAGCTCCTGGAAGTAATTTAAAGTCCAGGCAATGTCCCATCTACCTACCAGCTACTAATTCTGTCCTACCAGCTACTAATCTCTATAACAGTGCTTCTCAAGCTTCATATGAATCACCTGGAGATATAAAATGCAGATTCTGATTCAGTAGATTTAGAGCTAAGTCTGATACTCTACATCTCTAACTTGCTGTCCAGTGGTATTTTTGGTCCTCGGATCACCAAGGCTCCAAAGGACCCAAAAGAGTGATTGCAAGCGCCTCCGGAACAGAGGATGAGGCTGAGGGGAAAAGAGCTTAATCTCAGGGTCTGTCCAGAATCGGGAACAAAAATCCAGGCTGCTCCAATCCCCAAGATGATAATCAAAAAAAGTAAAGGAAGAAGCCTAAATTGGAATAGGAATAAAGTGTGGAAGAAGAACCTCATCTCTTCCATCTCTCTGAAGCCTTTAGTTCTACCATCCTGTTTTCTCTCCATTATTATCCCTTTCTTGATTTCACTTCCTGTCCTCTGCTATTTAGATTCCAGAGTATCCATCTATCCTTCAAAATCCCAACCCATCTGACCTCTTCACTTTCAAAATCAAACATCTTGAATACTACTGGATAAAAAGACTGAAAATATACATTGGAATCCAACTGTAAACACATGCTTTCAATGTCAATTAGGCCTCAGTGCTGCCCAGCAATCTTTTTAACTCTGATTACTTTCATCCTCATAGATTGTGTCAAACCTTCTCCACTACCCCTGTAACAACAGAACCCATTGCTACCTCAGATCAAAAAGCATCTTTAAAAATTTTGAAAAGAGTACAGTGTAGAAGGCAAGGCCACCCTCAAGTTTCCAGACATATAAACAAACATATTTATATATACAAGCTTTTCCTTTCTCTTCCCTCTCACACTTGAAATATCCCTTCTATGTATTAATTTTTAAGTATCTGAAAATATGTTCAACATCACTCATTACAGAAATACAGTTTAAAATCAGACCAAGATATAATTCTCTGCTTACAAGAATGCCAATGATTAAAAAAATCCAATATACTGAATTGGTGCAGATACAGGGGGACACCGTAAGATATAAATTTCTACAACTTACCTTAAAAAAAAAAAAAAACTGACACTACCTCAAAAATTGTAAATGTACTGTGCCAGCAATTCTAGTCCTAGGACTTTATCCTACAGATACATTCATACTTGAGAGCAAAAATGTATCTCTATTAATATTCTACAGAGTTTCATTTTTGTAGCAAAAGTTTAGACTTGCCTAAATGTTTCTGAATAATTATTATTAAATATCTAATAATAAAGAATGAGGCATCTGTGGGTACTGATATGTATCACTTTCCAAAATACATTGCTCAGTGGAAAAAGCAAGGTGCAGAGCAAGATATATGATTCTGTATTCCATGTGTTTTAAAATGTTTGTATACAAATATGCTTGTACATGTATAGAAAAATATCTGGAAGTGTACTGAAGGGTAATAACGAATGCATCTGGGGAAAGGGACTAGGGGACTGGAGGTCAGGGTAATAGGAAACATTTTTCACTGTTACTCTTTCTGTAATATTAAAAACTTTTTTTATACTGTGCATGAATGGTTGTCAAATAATAACAAAATAAATTAATTTTAAGAGCTACTACTTCTTCTAAGGCTAAATCCTCAAATAGTGTATCTTGTATGTCCTCCTGCCTTAGCCAGAACATCCCACTCATTCCTTTCCTCTCTGTCCCATACCTTTAACTTCTACACTAGCTCCTTGATTTATAAACATATCCATGTCTTATTCTTAAAAATTTTTCACTTATTAATTTCAACAAATAATGAAATGCAGCAGGCTTGAGCCCTATAATCTTCTCAAGTCAACATACTCCTTCTCTCCCATGCTTCACTGTCAACTTATCTAGAAAAAAGCTATCACATCTCTCACTATCCCTACCACATCACCTTCCACTTTTTCCTTAACTCACTCTTACCATCTGAGCCACCAGGGAAGTTCCTATTCCTTAACTTACTCTTAGATTACTAGCCCAACTGCTCCACTAGAACAGCTGTGGCAAAAGGTATCAATAGTCTCCAAATAGCCAAATCCAGTGATCTACTTCAACATTTACCTTAAGTTAGAATCTCTTCCTCAAAAATGTTCTTGAATTTGGTGATATCACCTTCAACGTGTTTTTCTTTTACCTCCCTGGATTCTTTTAAGGATGTGAAACTCAGGAAAACAAGGACTACTGGACTTAGTGGCTTAAATGTGCACACTTACCGGTTGACTCTGCGAGGACACTTATCTGGCTTGATATCCACTTCGTAGTGATAGACGTCAATCTTAGGGATGTCCACTTCAAAGTAATTGGCCAGGAGCTTGATTGGTTTCCCCACAGTGCCAATGCCAGGCCGGCGAGGTGCCTGGAACACCTGCTGCAGGGGGGGCAGGTAGGCGCCTGCAGCTACAAGACAGAGAGCCTGGTGAGGGTAAAGTCTGGTAATCTCCTTACCACTCTGATCAGAGAAAGCACAAGGACTCCTAGAATGAGAGCAGCAGAGTGTAGGGGAAGCCTCTTTCCTGCCTACCCAACCTAAATGAGGATTTCCACTGGTTGAAACCCAGGCTCATTTTTTAAAAAACTCTTTCCAGTTAGGAAAATTACCCTTGTTATCTATCTTAAATTCATCAAGTGAGTACATAATAACTTCCTATTAATGTTAAATAAAGGGACTAAATTTGGCTCTTTCTTTCCTCTATTAGATTGAGACATCTGCCTCCACCAGGTATCCAGCAGACCCTACTATCTGTCAGCTAGATGCTCACTTCACTCATCACCATCCTGAACACACAAAAAAAGCATCACCTTAAAGTTCCTCCAACTGCAAGCAGGAGGAAGACCTAAAGAAGGCCAAGTGCCAGGGAAAGGGGCGGGGCAGGGCAACAAGCAAGGACGAGGGCCAATGTCTGGGAAAAGATTAAGGCAACAGAATGGCTGAGATTGGAAAAGGAGAAAAGGCTAACAGGACAGATTCTGGAGACCAAGGAGAGAGGCTGAAACAGGGAGCTGCTAAAGGGGCTAGAACTAATGCTTGAATTGGGAAGGAGGAAAGGCTGGAATAGGGGCTGGGGCAAGATAGGTTAGAGCTGACAGCCTAGGCAGGAAGTAAGGCTGCAAGTTGGGAGAGAATGAAGCAAAAGTTCAAAAGAAGAAAAATCTAGGGAATGAAGGTAGGCTAAACATAGGCGACTAAGGCAAGAGCAGGCTAGAGTAGAGGACTCAGGAAGGAGGGGCACCAATTATCCAGCTGGAGAAGATGAGATTACTGGCTCTGGGAAGAAGAATACAACATTCTCTCCAGGCCCACACCTCCTTCCACGCAGAGGGCCCCAACAGTTGCAGTAGGGATCAATTTTAAGACATCGGAGGCCCCTGGGAAAGGGCTAGGGCTGGGCCAACTCCCACTACTTTCTCCTCTATTGCCACCAGCATGATTGCTGCCCTGGGTTTTATTTTCTAGCTTGAGGGGAAAGGGAAGAAAAAAGGAAAACTGCCTAAGAGAACCCTTTGCCCATATCTACTATTGTCCTGGCCAATAGAGGACCAGCCCAGTTGGGAGGAGAGAGGGATAAAACAGCCGAGAACCTCCCATTATCAGAGATCTGCTTTCAGAGTTGGCCAGGCTGGGGGGGTCAGGAAGAGGTCAGAACCCTTCAAGGGAGAGGCCTGCTTCCCAGAGCTAAGCTGCTGTGTCTCCTTCTAACCACCTGTCAAGCCTACCCTACAGGGAAACGCAGGCAGGGAAATGGAGGCCCAGCCTGGGGAGAAAAGGCCTTCAGAACTCCGCTACCTGGGGAAGTAAAAGCTTAACTACTAGCACCTGGCCACCTACTGTAGAAAGAGCTGGACAGAAATTATATACAAGCCATAGTCAGACATACACATCCAAACACATACTTAGAATTGGACAGTTTACCTTCATAAACATACCCCTCACCAACCTAGATTGTGAGTCCTTCAAAGATACAAAGACTGTATGTATCTGCCTTGGTCACTGCTGAATCTCCAGTGTCTGGCATACAGGAGGTGTTCAACACACAGATAAGACACAAATTAACAAACAGATCCGTAGACATACCACAAAGAACACACAAGCACAAGTGCACACGCACGCACACACACCTGCAAACTGCTCAGAAACAATTATAAATCCTGCACAGAACTAACAAGACCCTAGAGGAAGTAGTTGGTAAGAGATACCTTTCCCCTCCCCAAGTTCTTACATTCCATTCACCTCCTTAGCCTCCCAGGCTGAGTAATTGTTTGGAGTCTTGGGAGAAAGACATCCCCTAGAGCTAGGGGCTGGGTAGAAATGATGGGGGATGGGACAGACACTCTAGCCTCAGAGTCTCCTCTTCCTCAGAAATAGGACTACACACCAGACCTAGCCTTAGTCACCCTCCATGCCTAGGAGGCTCTGGGAAAACAGGGAGGCCCCCACCTTCCCCTTCATACCCAAACTAGGGAAGGCAGGATGAAGAGAGAACCTCTCTCCCACCCCATCCTCCTACAAGTCTTACGGCAGTACAAAGTTCCCCCAACCCCACCCTGCCCCCAGCTTTTAGTCTGAGAAAGGGAGACACTTCCCTTCAGACCCAGACAGGGACAGACGGCCACTTTGTGATGCAGATGAGGGCCCCTGCACAGAGGACAAAGCTTGGGCCTTGGGGGAAGGGGGCGGGGCCGTTCTCTGCAGACAAAAGCAAGGAGGGAGGGGCTATGAAAAGGACACTCCCCCTCCCCCATCCCCAACCAGCCCTGAGAAGGAAAAGGAAGAGCCGAAAGGCCTGGCTCAGGGACCCCTTCCCTGCAGTTCTGAGGCCCACGTACCTACCAATAAGCTAGACTGCCCATTCAAAAGACAAACTCAAGGCTGGGTCAGCTGTCCAGTAAGCAAAGAGGAAGAGGCCAATCTCTCCAAAAAGAATTTATCCACACACTAAGTACACACAAATTATTAGATACCATACAATGTACTTAACCATTTATGTTCACAATGGAATGTGACTCAATTCAAAAAATAAAGATGTACTTGTGTCAAGGCCTAGACATTCGTTGTTTCCACAGATAATCAGACACCAACTCCACCCTCTAGGAGCTCCCAGTCCAGTATATGTGCTTGAAACACACCTAAGCACAGAAGGCACATCTGGCCTTGAGCCCAGTGAAGCCAGAGACAATACACTGCTTTGTGTACTGTGTCCTCCAACCTCCAAGAAAATAGTCCTAGCCCAGGAAGGAGGCAGTTATGGGATCCCTCTACTCACAGCTTCCAGAATGAATTTCAAAAACACCCTTTGATGAGGTAAAGGATGCCCCATTAGGCTACAGCCAACTCCAGATACCAGGCTCTAGTTCCTTCCCTAGAAGCTTATTTATTGTAACAACAACCAAAAACAAAAAGTCAATTTTTTCATCACTCTCGAGACCACTAGGAATTCATCAGAATAAAATCATAAGCAGTCTGGTATGGGTGCCAGTTCCCATCAATCCACCTGGACTTCTGTGTCCTACTACTCTAGTTCCAGGGCTTGTTCCAAGTAGTCTCTAGCCCAGAAAACCAAGAGAGTTCATGGAAGGGAGAGAGGGGCCTAAGGGAAAAAGGAAGTATTAACAGTTTCCTGAAGTCAGTTGCCCCCTGAATTCCACCTTAAGGCTTATACAGCCTTCACAAGGTTGTTTTCATCTTGGTGAAAGTAATCACTAAGTACTTAAAGATCACTGAATGAATGACTTGAATGAGTTGGCAAGAGTTATTTCCTTAAGAGTATTAGATCTGGTATAAAAGACAAAGATGCTTGCTTCAACCAGAAATGAAATTCATGTCCCAAATGAAATAAAATTCACGTCCCAAATGGAAATTCTATTCTCCCCTCTAGATCAAATGGAAATAGTGAGACAAGATCTAAAAGATTCCCAGTTCCAGACTGCTCCAGCCACCAAAAAGATAAGACACCTAGGACACAGGAGGTGCCACCACCCTCACCCCATCCAGGGACTCTGGCCTTCTTGGGACAGCCTTGCCTCAGTTTCCCCTCTAATCTCCTTTTTCTCCTGACTGTGAATAAGGAGAAGTTAAGGCTATCACCTGGGACACACTATGGTGAAGGCTATAAACTTCCCCCTACCCCAAACAACTTATATATGACAAAAGGCTAGCCTGACAATGCTGGGTCTAATAACATGGCTCTGACAGTTTCTGGGGAGTAGAGAGAGCAAAAAGAAAAGATAACCAGTAGGGGACAGCAACCATAAAAACATAAAGGCATAGAAAGATTAGGCTGTCAACTCAGGAAACATTCAATAGAGAGGTCATTATGCTTGGATTAAAAGATCCCAACTCTGCTCACTATTGAACCAGAAACATGCAAACCAGGCAAACAATCCCTTCTATGGAAAGCTGGTCCTGGCCTTGGTCCCTCAGCAACCAATACATTCTCTAAGGCCTGTCTTCAAGTAGGACCTGTCCCTAACCTAAAACATTGCTCCCACCCCAATCTTTCCTCATCCTAATGGCAGAATAAGAAACTTGTCCACTTCCCTCAACCTATTCTTGGCAAATTGAGACTGAAGGTTTCAGAGACAAGCGAAAGACCACCAAGATGGGGAAGGGGCCCATTTCCATTTGTGTCCTGCCAACATAACCTGAGAGAGACTACACCCCATGAGCGCGCTCCTTTTACCAAGTCAACCTAGCGGGATTAGGGGTAGGGGGGTTCGGGCGGCCACGCCCCCACCACATCGGGCAGCCCGTTCCAGCTGCCACCTCCGCGCATGCTCTGGCGCCTCCACTCCAGCTCCCCAGACTTAAGGGGGGGAATCCCAGGGCTGGATCCCCACCCACTGCCCCCTGACCCTCGCCCCCGCTTCAGGCCCGGCTGGGGCGGAGCTCACAGCCCAGCTCTGGCGCCTTCCCCCAAAAGGCATCATCCCAGCCCAACCCATACCGGCTGAGCCCCCGCCCAGGGCATGCGGCAGCTCTGGGCCCATTTGTGTCGACCCCCCTCTCCTGGACACCTGGAGCCCGCCCCCTGCCACCTGCCGGGCCTCTCCCAAGGCCTCCCGGTACCTCCGGGAGTCCTCCTGTGCGTTCAGGCCCTTCTCCCAAAGCACTTCCCACCTCCACGAGTGCATAGAGGCTCCTTTGATAAATGGCCCCCGTCTCAGACCTCCCTTCGCAAGGTTTCCCCCGGAACTGCACACAGCCCCCTTCAAACTGGGCCCCCCATCTCAGAAGAGCCCCGTTCCCCACTCAGGAAACCCCTCCTCACTCAGAAACCCTGCTCTTCACGCGAGGGTCCCCTAGTCCTTGGAGCATGCACCGTCCCCGCTCCTGAGGGCCCTTACCTGCTCCCGAGGGTCCCGCTTCCATCCCATATACCCGTGCGGAGATCAGGCGGCCCGGAGACTGTGGAGTCCAGCGTGAGGGGCCTAGGTACCCCGCACTTTAGCTGCCTGGGCTCCCGGGCCGGGCTCGGCTGCCCCCCCAAGCCCGGCCGCTCGCGCCGCCGCCCCCGCAGCCTCCGTTGCCGCCGCCGCCGCGGAGCCTGCAGCAGCTCCCCCTGCGAGCGCCCGGCCAGCTGCCAGTGCGCAGGCGCGACCGCCAGGCCCAGGGGGCGGACGGGAACGAGTCAAACGGGGCGCTCCGACGGCAACAAAGGCCAATGGAGAGGGGCGGGGGCACCGGGGACCGGAGGCAGCGGCCCCTGGCGGTCACCCATCGCCATGCAGCCCGGCGGGAGGGCTCCGGTAAAGGCGCCGCGGAACCGCGCAGTGGCGTAAGTGGGGCGGGGCGGGAGGACAACACACCCCCCACCCCCACCCCGCAGCAGCCTCCGGCCTTGTCTTTTCCCCAAACATGTTTCTCCAAGCCTACACACAACCTCCCCCCATTCGCACCGAGCCACGCGCACATTTCCACCTCATTCCCAGGCCACCCTCACATACTCCGAGAGCCCCATCACCCAGGGGCCCTGCCTCCCACCTCTCCTCCCAATCACCCTCATCCTTCAAGCCTCCGCTGCAAAGCGACTGCCTCCGCGAAGCCTTTCTCCGTCCCTAGTCACTGAACTCACTGACGCCACCCTCTCATCCAGGTTAGTACTGGGCGCTGAGACCAGAGATATGAAAGAGACCCTGCCTACCCTGGAAGATGTCACCGTCTCAACTTAAGTGCATCTACTGAGCTCTACCTGCGGGCTGGGAAGCACTTTCTCACAGCTCACGCCTGAATTCAGTCAACCCACTTCTTACCTCACCACGTCACTTAAAACACTTTCTATGTCAAAATTCAAAGGATAATTTTCAATTCTTACTTCGCTGCAGCATCTGACACTGTGCCTCTCCTTCCTTCTTGAGTCTTTTATTTGGCTTCAGCATTTTCTGAGGTCTCCTATTGCCTAAGTCCTTTTCGGTTTTTTCAAGAGCCGCCCCCCCCCACTCTTGTTTTTGATCCATTAAAAAAAGTGTTCACCTTGTTTTCAAACCTAGCTGTCTTCTCATTCTACCCTCCACTTTTTTGCTTAAAGGTCTCATCCATTCTTATGGCTTAACTATCCTTCCAAATCTCTACTTCCAACCATGTCTCACACTCATATTTCCAAGAGTCTGCTGGACAGCTCCACCTGGATCTACCAGCACTTCAAATTTAAAGAGTTCAAAACTAAACTCATCTTTCCTCCCACAGAAGTGCTTGTCCTATACCTCCTGTCTCTACAAATGGCACCTTCATCCCAGAAATGACAGTTTTTCTCTCTCCCTTGCTTGTATCTCTATACAGCAGTTCACAAAGTCCTGACCTGTCTACCTGCTCACATGATCTCCTGACATTCTTAGTGATGGCTCCCTGTGTTGATGCAGACCCTTATCATATCTTGACAAAAGGATCACAGTCACCTCCTTGTTAGTCTCACAGTTTCTCCTATTCAGTCTGCATCAACTGACAGGTGCTAACAGACCCAGCTCAAACATCACTTTCCCATATATTCCTTCATATGCATCAATCCATCTGTATTTTTGATGCCTACTTTACACCAGATGCTAGGAGCTCAAGAGAGAAGCCATACCTAGTCACTACCCATTAGGAAGAGTAATTTCTGACACTTTTCATAGTATGCTTTTTGCTTTTCTCTAGGAGAGATTCTCCAACAGCAGGTACCACCTGGAGGGCTTGTTTAAACACTGACTGCTAAGAACCACCCCCAGAATTTGTGATTCAGTAACTCTTTGTGGGATCCAAAGAATACATGTTTCTAATAAGTTTCCAGAGGAAGCTTATGCTGCTGACCTGGGGGACCACACTTTGAGAACTACTGCTCTACAAGATAAAGTTAAAAACAAAGACTCCAGAGTTACAATGTTTTGCTTCCAACCCTGATGCGGCCAGTTACTTCAGTATTCTTGCCTGGAGAATCCTATGGACAGAGGAGCCTGGCAGGCTATGGCCCGATAGGATCACAAAGAGTCAAACACAACTGAAGTGCCTTAGCACACATGCATGTGTCACAATTTCCTCCTCCTCCATTTTAGAGGGTGAAAATAGTACCTACCTCATTGGACTATTATTAATACATATAAAAGCTTAGAACATTACCTAGAAGAATGCAGGCAAATTATTGGTTGCTACCATAATTACTGTCTGCTTCTTGCACTACATTCTAAATTCTTTAAGAATATGGACTATGTCAAGATGCACTTCAGTCTCCCTTTAGTGCTTCGCACAAGCAGTACCCAGAATGATTACTAAATGTAGATAGATCTGAATCAAGGCATCAAAACATCCTCAGAAACAGCAAGGTCTTTGCCTTGGTAACTAAGCTGGAAGCTCAGCATTCTTTAAGAACAGTTTGAATCTCCTGTTCTAAATGCCAAGCCTCACTCTGTGAAAGGTACCTTAACTTTGTGGAAAGGCACTGGTCACTATTCTGATCCACCTCCAAAGTGGCTAGTGGAGTCAAGCCTGGCTCTGTCCTTGCGGGTCTTTCTGCAGAGTGTCTTCATCATCAAGGATTTCACTCTTGGCTAGGCAAAGTAGTAGAGTATAAAGGAATTCCAGACAGCATCTTGTTTTTTTAATGCAGACAAACTTCTTCCAGTAATTCCTGATGTACCTTCCCAGAAAGTGACTGGCTCCTTCTGTCTCCAGTTTAATCCCTACATCTCAATTCATAGCTAATTCACACCCAAGCGCCCCTACTATGTGGGCCAAAACTCAGGTCTTCCCACTTACACACCTTCTCTAAACCTAGAGTTTCTGGACCTCAAACAATAAGAATGGCTTAAGAAAAAAAACTGTATCTCAAAAAAAAAAAAATTGTATCTCCATCAATGTTTTCCTTTTAAAAATACTTAAATAACAGCCTAGGGACAAAGAAATCAAGGTACTAAAATAAACATAAAATCGTATACCCTTCAATCAGGAAATGAATCACCAACACTTCCAGCATATACCATTTCCTTTTTATCAATAATAAAATGTATTTCTTATTTCAAGAGAAATTTTTAAAAATCAGAAATCATGAACAATGGAATTAATAAATGTCAGCTTGTACTCTGGAAAGATGAAACTTGTACACTTTTAAAAATTAAGGAATCATTCACATAGGTAAACTACACATATACAAAATATAAGATTTAACCAGTCCTAACATATGTATTGGCTTCCCTAGTGGCTCAGATGGTAAAGCGTCTGTCTGTAGTGCAGGAGACCCGGGTTCGATCCCTGGGTTGGGAAGATCCCCTGGAGAAGGAAATGGCAGACCACTCCATTATTCTTGCTTGGAAAATCCCATGGACCGCGGAGCCTGGTAGGCTATCGATCATGGGGTTGCAAAGTGTCGGACATGACTGAGCGACTTCACTCACTCACTAACATATGTATCATCTTTCAGTGGCCCATCTTTTTGCCTTTTCATACTGTTCATGGGGTAACAGAATTCCAGTTGAGCTATTTCAAATCTTAAAATATGATGCTGTGAAAGTGCTATACTCAATATGTCAGCAAATTTGGAAAACTCAACAGTGGCCACAGGACTGGAAAATGACAGTTTTCATTCCAATCCCAAAGAAAGGCAATGCCAAAGAATGCTCAGACTACTGCACAATTGCACTCATCTCACACGCTAGTAAAGTAATGCTCAAAATTCTCCAAGCCAGGCTTCAACAGTACATGAACCATGAACTTCCAGATGTTCAAACTGGATTTAGAAACAGCAGACGAACTAAAGATTAAGTTGCCAACATCCACTGGATCATCGAAAAAGCAAGAGAGTTCCAGAAAAAACATCTATTTCTGCTTTATTGACTATGCCAAAGCCATTGACTGTGTGGATCACGACAAACTCTGGAAAATTATGAAAGAGATGGGAATACCAGACCACCTGGCCTGCCTCTTGAGAAACCTGCATGCAGGTCAGGAAGCAACAGTTAGAACTGGACATGGAACAACAGACTGATTCCAAATAGGAAAAGGAGTACGTCAAGGCTGTATATTGTCACCCTGCTTATTTAACTTATATGCAGAGTACATCATGAGAAACCCTGGGCTGGAGGAAGCACAAGCTGGAATCAAGATTGCCAGGATAAACATCAATAACCTCAGATATGCACATGACACCACCCTTATGGCAAAAAGCAAAGAAAAACTAAAGAGCCTCTTGATGAAAGTGAAAGAGGAAAGTGAAAAAGTTGGCTTAAAACTCAACATTCAGAAAACTAAGAGCATGCATCTGGTCCCATCACTTCATGGGAAACAGTGGAAACACTGTCAGACTTTATTTTGGGGGGCTCCAAAATCACTGCAGATGGTGATTGCAGCCATGAAATTAAAAGACACTTGCTCCTTGGAAGAAAAGTTATGACCAACCTAGACAGCATATTGAAAAGCAGAGACATTACTTTGCCAAAAAAGGTCCGTCTAGTCAAAGCTATGGTTTTTCCAGTAGTCACGTATGAATGTGAGAGTTGGACTATAAAGAAAGCTGAGCACTGAAGAATTGATGCCTTTGAACTGTGGTGCTGGAGAAGACTCTTGAGAGTCCCTTGGACTGCAAGGAGATCCAACCAGTCCATCCTAAAGGAAATCAGTCCTGAATATTCAATGGAAGGACTGATGTTGAAGCTGAAACTCCACTACTTTGGCCACCTGATGCGAAGAACTGACTCACTGGCAAAGACCTTGATGCTGGGAAAGATTGAAGACCAGAGCAGAAGGGGATGACAGAGGATGAGATGGTTGGATGGCATTACCAACTCAATGGACACAAGTTTGAGTAAACTTCAGGAGTTGGTGATGGACAGAGAGGCCTGGCATGCTGCAGTCCATGGGGTCACAAAGAGTCGGACACAACTGAGCAACTGAACTGAACTGAACAT